CTAACAGCAAAGCCATCCACATGGTTGTCACATAAAATACTCATTTAAAATATCAGGTATATTCACATGATAAAACAGACAAAAAAAAAACTTCAATCAACAACCTTCTGCACATGGCTGGTAAAACTAAAGGCATTTTTTAAAAATGTATTTATTTTATTTTCTATGCAGAAGCAATGAAATACTGTCCTGTATTTCTTCAGATCAAATGTGGAAGAAGTCAGCAGATTATCACACAGTTTTAGGATTGACAGGCATGATGGCTAAATCATGGGAAATAAAGCCCAGGTTGTAAATGGGTAGAATTACCCTTACATGGTTATTTAAAGATCATGCGGTAAATTAAACTCACTGACATTTACTTTCAGTAGATGTTCACTGGATATTACCACCTTTTTCATCTGTTAAAACCTTTACTGACAAACCACTTTCACTGACTACCTGATGAGTAATACATGTGAAGTGCCTTTCTTAAACTCAATCCAATATTGAAATAGAACCTCAGAGGGACTAAAGATGTGCACTAAATCATTTGGTAGAACTTTTTTAAAGAATTTAGTACCAAATCTCATATATTCTCTCTTATTCAACTAATATAGAAGGAGTCTGTCTGTCTGTCTGTCTGTCTTTCAATGTTCTCGACAACCATTCATTCAATCGACTTCACACTTGGCTGGTATATTGCTGAGAACCTAAGGAAGTGCAGTGTCGAGTGTGAAGTAGTTTGGATGAGCGATTCTCGAGACAGCTGAGAAACATTGCTCATGTTTGGCAGCCTTGGTGAAAACTTCAATGCGGCTCAAATAAGAACGCATAATCATGAGCAGTCTGCCTCAACAGCAGTGGAAGCAGCATTCAAAAAGTAAGACTGAGAAATCAGTTTTCTATCTTTGATAGCTCCACTTTTCTCTCCCCCATTATTTCATTTTATTTCCCTTTATCTCCTCTCAACCCAATGCAGACACACACACACACAGAGTATACCGGAATAGACTTTCTCCCTGCCACACACAGTTCCTCTATTGTTTTCTCATTACTCCATTATGTTCAATTCAGTCAAGTGTTCCCCCCTTCTGTCTCTCAGCAGTTTCTCTGTAACACTTCACACCTCCTTCTGTTTACCTGACTCTTTTACCAACTCCACTATTATCTCAATTTCATGGACACACAGTAGCCTTTAGCTTTTCTAAATTCTGAATATCAATCTTCACAGACTCTGAACCAGTGTTGTTCTAATTGTTATTTTCTCACAACCAAAAATTCAAGGATTGTCAGCACATTAAACTGATCCCAGCCTTATGTATTATGTGCCCCCATGGGTTGTTTTTTGAAGAAAAAAAATTGGCTTTATTGTTTTTTAGTCCTCTTTTGCAGTGACATTAGAAGCCATGATAATAGAAACCCTTAACAGCATTCCTCTCACCTAACCTACAACAGCATAAAAACATCTCTGTTTGCCTCTTTTTCTCTTCCTATTTCTCCCAACATCTTCGCTCTTTCAGCCTCCGCATTCATTAATGTCAGGCACAGATCTGAAAATATGTCCAAGCTTTTTCTAAGTCTCTTGGCTTGTTGAGGCCGAGGGTGCAACAATATTGTGCTGGACTGAAGATCCTCCTGTGGGTGGGTGCTAATTCTAATTGGAGAGCTAGCATGCGGCAGGGAGGCTGGCGGACAGGCCTCTCTTTGACATTTAGTATTTCTCGATGGCGGGGATTTGAATAATGTCAGCCGAGCATACGGTTGTTTGGCTAACAAGGGAGCCTGGTCAAGACACTAATGAATGTTAGAGTGAGGATGGTGCCAGCTAAAAGCGAACAGAACGGAGGTTATTGGTACGCAGTCGTAACTGTGTGAGTACACACACTAGAGTGCATGGAGGAGAAAGTGAACTCCCACCTACGATAAAGGGGACTACAGTAGGTCGTCATTGACAATGGATGGATTTGTACAATTATCACGTACTTATATCTTTGTAGCATATCGTCTTCAATATGCTACGAAGCACAAGTGATTATGTTTATTCTCCTGTCTTCTTTCACTCCATTTCTCCTTTTCATGCTTTCTCTTTGTAAGATCTGATAAATATGGAATTGGTGTAAACAAAAGATAGTGGAAGGCAGTAGTGCCCAGACATGTCTAACTATCTCAGATCTTTGAAGAGAATTGGTGTCAAGGGGGTGAACTACCAGAAGAGAAGCAGCATGCTTGCCGCACATGAAAGCTACATGAAAGCTATGAGCGAGCATGAGCTGATATAGGCCTGTTTGTACAAGCTACATACAAGTGAAGACAAGCTGATATTGATATTCTACATGTTGCCCTGACATTCACACTGTGTGAGCCTCATTTATTGACCTTCTCTCAGTGATGAGCGTTACCATAGTTGTGACTATTTTGAGACACATTCGTAGATACTTCATGTAGAATACCCGTATACTATATTTCCGACCTCTGCATCGTATTATATATAAGAGGATGCTGCTATTTCCCCTATAACTGAAGCTCCTTGATAACAGTCCTTCATAAGCAAATACACATTCTTTCAAGGTAACATGAAGTTCAAACCACACGTGTTTATTTTACAGATCTTGCCTGATCCACATTCCTCATATAAATATATTTTTTTCCTTATCCAAGTCAAGGGTTTAAGGAAAAAGGGTGTCATTTGTTGCCATTTGAGATAGATTTATGATTTGTACAAGCTGCCAATCCTCTCAGCGATGATCTTGTCTGTGTCTAATTTCACTAATGACTCCCTATTAAAAATACTAAAAACCTTTATAACAGACATTCCAGAAATAACTCACATGCTCTACCTAAATAAAAAGATAAACTGTCTAGTGTCAATGGCTGACAAAAGATCTGCACACTGTACTAATAGCTCCCAGCAGATTTAATTTAACAAAGCAAAGTTTCAGTTTTTAACAGATCTTCACCAGGCATTGTCAAACCTATTTCACAATAGTCATCAGTACACTGTGTGGATGTTTTGTCTAACTTTTGACTTCAGTTTATTAACTAAGCCTACACACCGGTGATAGCGTTAGAGAAAGAGATAGACTTCGCTGCTCATTACATGGTTAAACATTTTTCTCACACAAACACCCACTACACAGCCCACAGCCCACTACTAGCAACAATTGTATCAAGTAGATTGCAACAACCTGAAACTTCCCTGCAATATTGCAACAGTTTCAACAGCCTGAAATATGCCAACCGAGACGTATCACTCAAAGGGACAACGCAATTACTCAATACACTGAAAAATGCAATATTTGTGACTAAAATAATGGTTGTTGGTAATATTAGTATTAGAATTAGCGACCCCCACAGATTAACAATTCTACCGCCTTTCTTGGGAGCTCAGCTCCCACTGGCTCCCACATAACTCGAAACCCTATGTGGAGGTTTTTTGGATGTGCATTTGGATGCTCTACATCCTATTTAATGGCTGTCAGAGAGTCCCAAACATAAGGCAGGGGGACAATGTATTCCTGGAAATAAATGGCGACACTTTAACTATATTTTCCTACTTATTTTTAACTTGTATCAGTCCTGTTTACACAAACTCACCACTTGTTCCCGCTGATGTTGTAGCTGTTGACACTGCAATGTGAGCTGAGCAATGGTCTTGTCTCGACTCCTCAGCTCCTCTCTAAGCACCTGAACTTCCTTAATCAGCTCCCCCAACTGAAAACACACACATACAGTATACTGTAGGTTGTAGGGCACTGCCTATATAAATACAGCATATCCAATCAGTCACTGCTGTAAACCTAAGGTAAAGTTTCTTACCTGTGATGCAGTAGTATTGTCTTCGATTTCCTCAGGAACATCTGCTGGAGAGTCTGTATCCTCAAGCTGGAAACAAACAAACACGCACAGAAGCGAGCACACACAGATACACACAGAGTACACGGTTAGCTCAAAGACAATTGCCTTAGGCATGCCTCAACAGCAAAATTTTGCTATGGTGGAATACGTTTACTCTTTAGCACATATAGTCTGCCGACCCACAAATGTTAGATACCCGATGCACAGTTGCAGAGTATGTTTTTGAACTATCAATACATTTATTTCATAGAGATTCATAAAGATTCATAGATTCAAAGAATTCCTTCACTTGAGAAGCTGATTAAATAAGTGCAGAGCTGATCCCAAAGCAAGAGTACATTCCTTTTTTTCCCAGTTACTGCCTGATAAAGTATTTGGTGTTTAAAATGTCGACAAATAATGACTAAGGCCAGTCAGAAGCCCAAAACTATGTAGTGAAATTGCATACTTTAGTTTAGAGTCACAAAAATGTATTCAATTTACAGTGACCTGAAATGGTAAACAAGAAAGTGAATGTTCACATTTGAAAAGTTAAAAACCCTAACATGTTTGCAATTATTATTTATTATGAGATTAAGTACTTTTAATAATATTTATCAAACGGTCGTTGACAATTATTCCAATCAACTTTCCAATAGCTCCTCATTCAGCTCATGTGGAGCATTTATAAACAGAGTTGCATTGGATGTCTGACTGTTGGCACAATAAAGCAAAGATCAATTAGGACTCAGCAAGACTGGAGGCTAATTTTACAGTTGCTTCCTTGAGCTTAACATCATACTAAAAAAACAACACAAGAATAGAGTTACTAATGGGCAGATAGAACAGAACAGAAATATTTCCCCTCTTGAGGCTATACAGCCAAATAGTTTGACTAATTGAAGTGAACACAATGAACACATTTCAGAGAAATCTGCTTCAAATGCAAACTTAAATATCCTTTTTATGCTGTTGAGGGTAAATTGAGTCAAGGCATTCAAGATAATTTCATTTAACGGAGTGTGCTGTGTGAAGTGCTTGTGCCTCTGTGCATTTTGGCAGTTTCCTAGATGGGGTTGTGGGTTTTGTAGGAGTGTGGGTTTTGTGCCGTCATCTTGTATGTAAGTGCACATTTCTATAGCTGACATATTTTATTTATCTCTTCTCCTTCCCCCACGTTATCCTCTTTTCTTCACGTTAAATGGATTTCTCAGACTGACAAACTGACAGAGAAGGATCTATTAAGTGATCAGTTTCACAAGAGCATAACACAGAAAAATAGAAGGAGGCCCAGAACATCTAATAACTTGAAAAAACTGGCTGTGAGACTGGCACAGCACATTAATACCACTAGCAAAACCTCCATATATCTTTACCTCTAAACATCTGTCTTATCATCTTTCTGTTTATATAAAGTACATTCAGTGCAGTAGCGCTGTGTGATGACAGGATTTATTAAACCGATGTAATTCAATATTTAAAAACCTTTAAATACTTAAAGTGGAACCACGTTAACAGTTAAAACAAGCTTAGTTCAGTTTTGTCAGAAAATACTTTTCATGTTGCTCATGCTAAACACCTGAGGACAGTGATGCAGTTTACTCCTGGCAAGCTTATGAAGATTATTCAATCTAACCCTCTGGCAAACTAATATAAAGCTGTATTTAATAGACAAAACAGCAGCTGAAATCAAACCCAGAATCCTAACAGTTCCCAGTATGTGGCCTCATTATACGACTAACAAAAGCCAGTGAGTGGTGACATGATCTGTAAGTTATGTGTTTTCAAAGCGTGATGCAACAGCATTAGAAGGATGACAAACAATGCATACTTAACACATGTATGCATGTACTTAACATATGTATGTGCTGCTCTTCTCTGTGTATGTGTGTAATTATATGCACATTTTGGAACATGCACACACATTTTTGTTCATTAGCATCTTCTTGAAAAGAACGTGGGTCGAACCTGTAGTAACGTTTTGAGCCTGAGCAGCTGGTTCTTGAGGGAGCTGCAATCCTGAGTCATGTGTTCGAGTGTGAGTTCATCCAGCATCGCCATGTAGCCTTGCTGTCTGCCTTCAGAGAGGACGGGCCGTGAAGAGATCCTTGAAGCCTTGAGACCATCATAGTGCTGGAAGACATGGGCCCTGAGATGGAGACAAATTAGACCAATAGAGAAAAAGTCAGAATCGACGGACAGAAAAACAAAATTATGTTGGCTTTATTGCGTTTCTACTTTTTACATTTCTACTTCCAACTTTTCTGGCAAAATTTTCTTCAAACTTGCAAGCCTAACTAACCTGCTATCATTGTGGAAGTGATCTGGTCCACTCCAGCGGTGGTGCTTACGCCGTTGCCCCTGCCGACCGGCCCTCTCTGAGCGCTCAATGTGGGACATCCTGTCAGAGTCTATACAAGCAGAATTTAGAGCACAGTGAGCCAAAGTAAAGAACCTTAAAGGATCAGTGTGTAGGATTTGGTGGCACTGGACCTTTAAGTGCATGTTAGAAAAAGAGAGGATGCAAGTGATGAATAAAAGAGCATATACATGGCGCCTGACCTGAAATGTATCATTTGTAACATACTGTAGATGCAATGCAGATGCAGTTATTTGAAGTGAAACTAGTACACGTTTGCAGTGGAAGATGAGCAGTATTTGTTTTTCTCTGTCTGTTTATGTCTTCTGCTACCACTCTAAGGTCCACACATACATGCAAACTGCAAGACTATGAGTCAATTTTTCATATCTTGTGATAATGAAACCAGCTTTGTATATTTCAAATACTCTATTCAGAAATATCTGCATATAAATCATGATCTGATCCATCTCATTCTCTATTTCTCTCAACTGCCTCCCCCATAAAATGCAAACACACACTCACACACGGTGACAGGCCATTTCATTTTCAACTAGGTAAAAGGACACAGTATTTGGCAACACTCAATGGCATATAGCTGTGAAATGAACCATGACCGCAACAAAATTGACAACTAACAGAGCGCGACCCCCAGGAAATCAAAAGGACCCTTGAATTTCTATATGCCAGATAGTTTTTCGACTGAGAGAAAAGGTAGAAAGAGAGAAAGAAAAATAGAGATAAAGAAATATTGGCAAATTGAAAGACCCAATCCAAGGAATGCAGCAGTAGCAGTTAAAATACTTTACCCTGAGTGTCACCACATGACACAGGAGCAGACAGTCTGTTTCATTCTGATTTGGAAATTTAGCACTCCCAATAACTTTTCCTCTTCTGCCCAGAAAAATGTCCTCTGAAAAGTAATACAACCAGAATATATTCCAACTTGGGGGAAAAATCCATAAAGGCAGAGAAACTTAGACGGAGAGTGGAGAGAAATGACTCCTTGTCCAGCCAACTGGTGAGCAGTTAAAGGGCCAGAGAGAGAACGCAGACCCAGCTCCCACCCTGCCTGGTTTTGTCTTTGTTGACAGTCTTGTTTTTCTGGGAACTCCCTAGGAACTGGAGCTGGGGAGAGATGACTGTGGTGGCGGTGGTATGGTGCTGAGAGAGCAGCTGAGGTGACTGGTTTGTGTCCAAGCAAGGAAGTCACCAGCTGAGGCGGACGAGGGAGAAAAGCTGGGGGCCTCTCTCCTGTCACGGGACCCAACAACTGGAAGAAAATATTACAAGGCCCCTTCTACCCTTCTCTTTTTTTTTTTTAAATCCTCTTCCCCTCTTCCTGTTCTGTGGCAGAATCAGGGTGTCTTAGGGAGGGAGGAAACACCCTTCCCTATCCCACGTCTGAGGGCCTGCCCCGTGGGCTGGGTCTAAATGGACACCTCGGCCTGCCTAGCTTTCTCTCTGCCTCTCGTGACACTAGCTCTGGCCATGACATAGAGCGCTATAAATATGGCCTCTTCCCAAAAAGGAGTAGGACACTCCAATTCACATTCCTCTGGAGTGAACATTCCTCTCCCTCCCTCTCTGTCTCCTGTCTCTCAAAAACAAGGATATCACTGTTTGCAGACTAAATAATGGTATCAGGGGTGTAAAGCTGTCATAGTAAGTTAAACCCAGTTGAAAGTTTAATAGGTACACCAAGCTAAAGCTAATGCAGTCTAATACAACGGGCCTGCAATAAATTCTACCTTTATAAAGGTTATAATGTTCGGTTTTTGTTGAAGCTGTTTTAGAGAGGTGCTGATTCAACTTTACAGTCATTTTGGAGGCTTTATATCAGCAAGGGTAGCCTCAATATTTCACCTATATATATTTAATTATATAATATATTAAACACCTCTCAGTCTCCACAGCCTCCAACGTGACGATAAATTGAATCAACACTTCCCTAAAACAGCTTTAAGAAAAGCTGAACATTATGGCCTACATAAAGGTAGGATTTACTGCAGGGCTGTCGCTGCTTTAATGGTGACTGTGTGTAAATGAGTGTCGGTGCATGTGATTGTGCTTATCCATATGCTTATATGTGCCCATGTAAGCATACGTACCCCCTCTATATATTGCATTTTGTGGTGTCAAGAGTCCTTCCACGGTAAATAAGTGCATCAAACACAGTCAGGAATGGTGACCAGGAAAATGTATTACATTTCATGCAGGGTGAGGTCAGTATTCCTCAATCTGTCTTTCCCTCTCACTTCCTCTTTCCATATATGTGGCCAACACTATTTGATGAATCAATAATAACTTTATCAACACCGTTACATTATATGGTAATATAATATATATGTCCTGATTACCTTTCAAAACTACAAAGAAGCTATTTTACTGATTGGCAATTGATTACATTTACAAAATGAAAATGGGTTACACAGAAGACTTCTAAGACTTCAAAAGATATGGTATCAAGATGAGAGTGGGTGGTGTATGTAGAATAGTACGCGAATAAACTAATCATATTAACGCCATGCTGCTGTTGTCAAGGCAATCAATGTAAACTCTGTGGCTGTGTTGGTACCATACCTGTGTGTGCATCTGTTTGTATAAACAGAGCCAGGCAGACAGCTGGCTGAACACTTCTCCAAGTCAGCTGCCTTGCTGTCATTCAAGGCCAGTTGTGTGGCAGTGGAGGAGTTGTAATTTAATAACGCTTCAGCAGCCAAATATTAAAAGAGTAACAGCGCATAATAGACAACAAGGTGTCCATTAAAAGATTTGAATGGATGTTGCAGAGGCAAATCTTCACTTAAGGCAAGGCAGGATACAATTTATTCAAGCAATTATATACCATAAAAGGATATTGCTGGAAATAGAATGCTCAGACCTTGGTAATGCATTAATTTACAATTATGATCAGAATAATTTTGCTGGAGGTGTCCGCTTATATGAAAATAATGTGCAACCTTCAGCCAATGAAACTGAAGCATTTGATTTAAATCCTGTGTAGGATAACTGCAATTGCATTACAGTGTTGTGCGTCTGTGTGTGTATGTGTGTGCTAACCATGCAAGCCATCCTCTGGGAGGTCCACATCCAACATGAGGTCATCGTCGTCCAACTCTCCAGTTCCCGGAGGGTCCAGATTGTTCAAAATATCCTGAAAACCAGGAAAATCACAGGTAACACTCACCTCATTCTCAGACATAGACAGGCCCATAATAAGTGCATTAGAGTCATTATCATTTTGCCTCTGGACAAAAAAGTGTTTTTGCTCTGCAAGACCAACTGCTGGGAGATCGTATCTAGACATCAGGGGCCAGATACATGTAACTCTGCATAGATTCAGAAACAAAAAACAGAACAAAGTCCTTGCCTGCGAAAGCATATTTTTGTGTGACATCTCATTTAGAATTTGCACGTACCTCCATAAACCTAATTTCCACTTCTCCAATTAGCCGGAAATAGATGTTTACATACCCCTGTTAAAACTTGTGTTTGACATATCCATCAGGATCCTTCTGGTCTTGGTCTAGCAATAGCCATGGCTTCCAAAAGTGCCAAAGCAGCTTTTTGTTGCTGCGCACCAGTGTATATTATGGGATATAAAAACCTAACAAACATTTTAGCACACAAAGATTTATGATGTGATATATAGTATTCTTATTTATGCTTTCCTAGCACTGCAATTTGGATGGTAGCCAGGAATTGGACCAAATAGCAGGAACATCTCTACAATGTAACATAGTGTAATCACACTAAATACTACTACTAATAGTACATCTGTGAAACTTGTAAAATAAATATTTTTTATTTTGAGACAATATATAGGCCATGCTCTACACTTCTAGTTATGTAGTAATTTTAATTTACATTTAGTTTGTTTCCATGTGCATTTCTATTTATTTCTATTCCTTATAATTGATTAATTTTGTAATTTACAATAACAACTGAAATATGAATGAATCAGTGACTTTTTTCTATGATACTGTTTTACTTATTATTCAATACAGAAAGGCCCAGATAATAGAACGGGCTTTTGGAAAAATAGCACACAATTACGAATCATAATACATAACAGTTTGAAACCCCCAACAAAAACACATCTCATACCAACCCCTGAATATGCAGTTAGTCTGACTGCTGCGCTGCTGTCTACCAAATAATTCAAAGCACACCCAAAAGCAAAGGAATGAATCAATAGTTCAAAGCTTTATTTTTCTAGGTAATTTTGTGCTTCACAAACTAAATTGACAGGGCTTTGACTAGAAGACACAAGCATAAAATTACTCATTATAGAAAATCTCATGTGTTGCATGATAACTGACTGGTGCTCAGTGTTTTAGGCTTAATGAAGAAGAAATAATAAATGAAAAAATAGAATAAACAAAACATACTTCTGCAGTCCTCTAAATCCTATCGACCAAGACGTGGGTGGAATCTCTGTATTTTGAAGAGTGCATGTACATATCAACTGTCTCATCTGTTTTATTCGCTCTCACTTCCTTTGCCTCTACTGTCTCTTTTGTCCTCCACCGTTACTCTCTTCTCTCTAACCTTATAACCCAAACCTTGTGAATAGAAAGACTTTAACACAAGAGGCCAGACAATGATTTGATAAGCAATACATCCTGATACATCTTTTTAAAACATTTCTTTAACCAGAGTAGTTTCACTTGGACGGATGCGCTCTTTTTCAGGGGCAGCCTGCACTACACTCACACAGTTCTGGTGAAATGTTAGCAATAGTGGCATCAAAACTGCAATACTGTGATACAGTACTGAGGTACAAGTACATTGTCCCTTGGTTCCAGACAGTCTGGAACGTTTCAGCTGTCCAACAGTTCACCTATGTGTGTGTTAAAAAGACTCTCTATGCACCCTCTATACATTACACAAAAGCAGCAAAGCAGTTGCAGCTGTGAGTCCTCCATCACTGTCTACACTGTATTCGTTCAGCCTAAGTATGTACGCTATGATGTGTTTGGCAGAAGTCACAGCTCAGTACAAAATCACACACTAATGTGTGCAAGAGAAAAAAAACCAAACTCCAAATGACCCCTCTAAAAGACTTTATGAGTCAAACTCCTGCATGTAAAACTCAAGCAGTCAGACTTTCAGGTGTAGAAAGTTGTTGCAGTGGTTAAAACTAAACGATCAGTTCCGTCAGAAGGATGTTGCTGAAATGATCTTGATCCAATTTTATCAAGGTTTTCTTAAACTTAACTTAAACTTAAATTAAGCCAGCAAATAAACGCAGTGTCATCACTGAGACTGAACGTTTTGATGATTTTTGTCATTTTTTTGTCGCTTTCGCTTCAGTTACCAATACATACAAAGTGATGTATCATGAATGAATGCTCAGGAGCATCTTGGTAGCCGATTTGAGATTGAACCAGCAATGCTACGATTAATGGACAACTCGCTCCACCATCTGAACTATCACATTCTTACTACTATACTATTCTTGCAATAGTACTGTACCCTGTAGTGTCTCAATTAGCACCAAACGACCTAGTAATACAGCATTTTTAGTCTTGTCTTTTCTTCATTCCAGCAATATTCAAAACGTACTCTCCGTTACTGCCGTTCATTGACTGTCTCTGTTACAGTGTGAAGCCCCAGAGGAAATTACATTTCACACTGGAAGCACACAACAGCTTAAAGCCCTGAAAAAATTAGGATAATCTCTCAGTAGAGGAGTGAGAGAGAGTGTGTGTGTGTGTGTGTCTACACAGTCCAAAGTACTCATTTATGAGAGCAAACCACAGTTCAGAAAGGATGTGGGATAAGGTTCATTACTGAAATTACATAACAGCAAATGTTCAGGAGGAACATTGAGTGTGTCCTGCACATTAACATGATGGGTTGTGACCCTGCACTCTGACCTCTTTCATTGAGGGGCAGGAAAAAACACTTCTACTACACAAGTACTGTATCATATTGTTATTATTACCGAGTTGAGTATGAGAGTAATTGAAATGCATCCTATCATGAACAGTGTCAAAACTACTTTGTTTAATAGTAAATCCCAAGGACTGCATGAGTTGTGGACCCTCAAATTGGTTAAGTCAATAGCGGCTATGAACTATCACTAAAATAAATCTGAGCTGAGTTTGAGCCAATTAAACTGCAGATGTTGTTTTCACTACGGGAATATGATTTGACTTTTAGCAATATATGAATTTTACACATGACATACACATTTTTAATTTATCTTAGACACCCAGTGGTGTAATGTCAATACGAACCCTCGGCAAGAGCAGCATTTAGAACTGTAACAGCCAAGGGAAGGTCTTCCAACGTACTCTCTGCTCCCACCGTAACAGCAGTTGAATCTTCCAACAAACATGGCTTGATCAAACACTGATTAAAACCTTTAAAATCACTGGGAATGTTTTGAGGCTGAACTTTGACAGTTTCCCCTCAAATGACCGGGGGCCGTCTGTAGAACAAACTCACAAAGCAAAATGAAAGCTCATTACGGAAACATTAATGGGTAGACATTGATTTCTTCGAGAGTATCTTTTTCAAATCTCTGGTAGAAAACGGGTTTTCATGGGTTGAATGTAAATTTTCGGTTCAATCACGCAACTTACTTTAGTGTTAGGTAAGACTGTAAAAGTGCCAAGGAGAAGTTATTTGTCTGACTGTACTTTCTGAGACATCTCTGTCTTTCTCTTCTCTTTTGTCTCGCATGAAGTAAGCCGCTCTTTTCAATTCAGTACCTTTGTATTAGTTTCTAATGAAATCTCAGTCGAGCCACTCTATCAGAGACGAGGGCTAGAAATCAACAAAAAACATATATTTTCCAGGATTGTTAGTTTTTTGAAGGTCAAATCCTTTCTAAAATAATGTTTTAAGACACACTGAAACACTACATGATAGCTCATGCAGTGTCTTTACATAGAAATGGACTGGGTTGGGAGCTGAAGGGCTCATAGAGTATTTATCTCTTGTGTAACATTAGTACCCCTACTTAACAGTATAATCCTTTATACTCTATATCTTGGGACTTGCTGGTGGTTGTGATGGAGGATATGTCCTTTACCCTAATCATTTGCAGATATTATTGTAATCCATTTACGCAACTCATTTGCAACTCTTGAACCAAGACCATTTTTCAACAAAATGTCAATTTTCAGTCTCTGTCTTACTGGATATAACCATTGATTCTTCTTTTATTCTCTCCTTTTAACTTTGGCTTAAATAGGCATCCTGTCAATATAGAGTGGGAGTCCTTAAAGGAAGGTGCGATACAGTGTAGATAACTATAAAACAGTACACAGTATACAACTGTCAACAAAAACATATTGAAGCAAATACCAACCTTCGTCAAATAAAGGCTGGAGGAAAATATGGAGGAAAAAACACAACATTACTTGTACATCTGTATAATGCTCACATGGCATGGCAAACTACTTCAGTAGCATTCATTCCATTGCAACAACAACACCGGTTTCATCACACTGTTGCTGTGTCTCGTAATAACCGGAAAACTTTTAGGAATCACTGATTCGATCTTTTTTCTTTTTTAACGTCACAGTAAGTTACAGATAACGAAGCTAAAAACATGCAGATTTTTCACAATAAAAGTATACCAAAAATAGGGTGGTATTACTGTAGTAGTGTTTAGTTTAGCTGAGTTAATAACATATTACAAAGCAGGGGAAATTAAAAATAAGAGCAAGTCTCTTCTTATAACCTATTCTGCACCTTATTCTCCAGCCTGCAGAATTTTAGTAATAGTAAAGGGTCACTACATCTGCATTCATTCACACTCCACTTCACTGAGTAACCCTGTGACACTTCCTGCTGCTATCAACATTTCTGTTTTATTATTGTCATGCTTAAAGTTTGAAGTTGGATATTGCTACACATGGTAATATAATTTCTTTCAACAGTTTATTTCTGTTATGCCACGCACAGCCAAACAGAGAAAGAAACAGAGGCATTGTGGAGGAGGAAGGCTGAGTGAAATTGTTTGATGAGTGATGGCAGCTGCAGAGCAGAGCAAAATAGAGTTAGAGAACCTTCAAATCAGGAGTATGTTTTTCCCAGCTTCATCTTTTTCTCCATCTCTTTTCGTGCTCAAGATGACAAGTTGACAAAAAAAAACGTGTGTGCACCTTAGTGTACAAGACCTGTATATACAGCCAC